TTTTAAAAAATATTAGTGATTTCAAGGTTTCAAATGAACACTTTTTTATTTTGTTCGAACTAATAGTCATGGAAATATAAATTAATAAATACGTACGAAAATTTGTGGATTTTTCAAAATCTGAAAAATCCACAAATTTTCGTTCGTATTTGTTAATTATACATGTACGCACGTCTTTAATTGACCAATCAAATCGCAAGGTCAGATATGTAGTTAGCAATTTCAAGTGCCAACAAATTATTTGTTTAGCGTTAGAACAAAGTGTAGGATTTAACCAACCAAAATAAAAGCTTATTGGTTATTACTTACACAAGCACATATTCAATATAAATGGGCGCATTTTTAATGTTTATTTCAAATAAATTCCTCATTATTGCATGTACATATGTATAAGAAAAACTTTAATTTTCAATAGTTACAACCAACTTTTTACCACTAACACCTTTTTCACTAAGCTTCAAAGCTTCTACAACACCAGTTTCCAAACCTCCAGAAACCAACTGAACAACATTACTCTTGATCAAACCATTATGAATCAGTAGCTCAAACTCTTCTTTTAAATCTTTAGTAGCTTTGTACAATTCGGGGTTATTGTATAATGAGCCCAACTTGACTGCAAAATCTTCAATCTTATCATTTTTTAGTGTAGGAGCTCCTGCAATATGGGCTATTTTGCCTCCGTCAGATAAAGTTTCTGCGGCAAGTGTGGCAGATTCCGCAGAGATGGTGTCAAATGCGTATTTGAGTTTATTTTTCATTAGAGCACGGATTTGAGAGACAACATTGGGATCTTTGTAGTCGATGACGTAAGTCGCTCCAAGCGATTTTAGGTACTCAGTATTATGTGTGGATGCTGTCGTAATTACCGTCAAACCTGACAAACGGGCGAGTTGGATGGCGTAGGCGCCACATGAACTAGCACCTCCCCAGATCTTTAATTATCAACGTATTAAATTGATTTGGAAAATAACCGCGCGAAAATTTTATTTAATTAATGCTCAATATAAATTTACCAATATATATTCAGGCTCCGCATATTTATGCTTTTTGGAAGGAAGAGGCAACTTCAACGCAAGATACAATCCGTGGGCTGCTGTAAGCAAGCCAACAGGAAAAGTAGAGGCTTCTTCAAATGAAAGATGTTCGGGTTTCTAAATAAGAAAAGGCATAATAAAAGTTAAAAAATTATATATTTTTTCAAATGAATATAAAGAGTTAAAGCTTACTCGAAACGATATATTTTCGTCATACAAAGAATATTCAGCAAAAGCCCCATATCCATTATTCCGTCCTAAGATAGTAAACGTGAACACCGAATCTCCTGGTTTAAATTTGGTAACTTCCGAACCGACAGATTCGACAACTCCAGCTACATCGCAACCAAGCACAATCGGGTAGCTTTCAATCAGGATATTATATTTTGGCAATTTCCTAATGGATTAGTTAAAAGCAATAAGCATCGGTCTGGGCAAAAATGAGATGCGCGTTTTTCATATCATTTACCAATCAGCAGGATTGATTGCAACCGCTTTGTTTCTGACTAACAATTCGTTGGGTTTCGGAATTGGTTTATCGACATGACCGAATTTAAATTCGCCGAAAGGTTTGTGAACAATAACAGCTTTGATTTGTTGCGACATTTTTAGAACTGTCGTTTAAAATCTAACACGGCTACGTTAAATACGTAAATTAATCAAGGATAAATGTTTGGCCGAAAATGCGCCTTTGGATTTCTTTTTTTTAGATTTGTTTATTTTCCTGAGAAATATTTTGCTTGAGACGTAATGGTTTTTTAATCATGTAAATCTTTCTAAAAAACAAACAAATTTTCTCAAAGCTAAACCCCAAAAGGAACCAAATTTTTTCTTTCACTAGATGTGTGTTGTCAGGTGAGTAACCATGTTCGTGGTTCCTGCTGCTTGTCCAGTGAATCGTGATGCGATTTTATGGAAAGATATGCACTATTGTTTATTCCCGCATAAGATACTACTGCTGTTGTTTGTCCAATTGACGTTTGCTGGGATGACACGTCTTCCGTCTTTGATTCTGCAGTAAATTTTTCTCTAACCAAAATTTAATTACAATAACGATAACGATAACGATAACGATAATGATAACTATAATGATAATAATGATAATGATAATGATAACGATTAATGATAAAAAGTAAACAACAATAGCAAATTAACCAACCACCTCAAGACATAATTAAATACGAAGACACCAGCAAATTTCTACAAATTAACCGCCAGAAATCAATTTCCGAAATCAAACGAGGAGGGATACGAATGGCTATACGAGATATCGAAAGCGATAAATTTTGCTGATTTTACAGGAAATAAAGGGGAGATTTGAATATTTTGGCAAGTTGAATCAACTTCAAACAGAATTTCATGACGAAATCGCACGACTTTATGCCGGAAGGGAGTAACCATGTTATCAGGATTAGCAATAGGTGTTGCGACAATTTTTGTCACTCTGGTCGAACATTCGCGGTTGTCGATATTTAAATGATAAGAACTATCACGATCAAACGAACGAGTAAGAATTTACATATATCAGACTGAAGCGGAACAATTATCAAATCTTTTTTATCATTATCACTTATGAATGTTATTGGACATTTATCATCGTAAGTTTTCAGAAAAGATGGTTATTGGAAACTTGCATGGTTTATGGTTTCCGTGGATTATTGGGTGAAGCGGACGTTAAGAAATTGACGCGAAACTACTTATGAGTGATTGTGAGAATATTCGTGAAATGATTTTTTGTCGTTTGTAGTAAATTTTTTAGTTAAATATTCCAGATTATATCTTTGTCACTTCGTCTTTATCGTTATTTTCGAATGCTTACAGTGTAGTCTTATCCATTGTGTTCGTCTTTATCGTTATTGTTAATCAAAACGATCAGAATAATGAATTTCCAAAACAAGGATAAAAGGATAAACAATACAGTACGTACCCGGTCGGTACATAACAAGTTTGCTTTGTTTTGATCTTCATTTTTAATAAATAAATATACCGATACGTACAATGAGTAAAAATAACCTGAATCTCATACAACTTTTCCAAACACGCTTTCTTCCGAATCTTGACTCCATGCAAACCTCACATTCAATAATACAATTATCATTCCCAACCATTACATTTGAAATAGAAGAGACAAAAGAGACAAGCATAAACAACATAATTCCAGAAATCAAACAACAAGAACGAAATTTCTATGCATTAACACAGCAAAACATCAAAATCATCAATATCGCCGCTGCGTTCACGCACGATCTTTTAATCTACATTAACGAAATGATTCAACGAAATCTCGAGTATGAAGAGTTTCTTGCCGTGTTGGAGGAAGTTGCGAGACGTGCGACTGATATTCTCGAAGAATGCGAACGTATCAAAAAAGAATACGAACAGATGTTTGTATTATTGAGTGTGATATCAAAGACTTTGAGTTCGCAAAATGAGGAATTACGAAAGAAGAAAAAGAATATCGAGAATGAAATACAGAAATTGAAGGAAGAATCTGAAAGCGAGTTTATGTTACGAACGGGAGGATTGATGCTTACAGGAATCTTCGTGTTCCAAACTCCTCGTATCACTGGTGCACTGTTAAGTATCGCAATGACGATACCGTTACTCTATTCTTTGAGAACATCCGAAGCGGTAAAAGAAAAAATACTTAATGCATATAGAATTCTTAGTTTTTTACTCGTTAAAGAACAGAAATTAGTTTCGACCCAAAGGACAATTGAAGATATCAACCATCATTTGCAAATAATTATTCAAGTGCTTAAAGAGGTCGAGGAATTTTGGAGCTTTTTATTGAATGAGACCTATTTTGCGGAAGGAAAGAATAAACACAAGGAAGAAGAGTTATATAACAATAATAGTAGTGATATCAAAAATACAATACAAAAATTGCCCAGGGTTATTGGAAAAGCGCGCGTTGAGAAGTGGGAAATAGCTAGAAATGCATTTAATGAATATATAGCTAATATGCGGGGCGCGACAAATGAAAAGCTCGAAAAATTACGACGTGAATTTTATTAGTTACTTTTTAGTAAAAGAGGTGAGCGAGGTATTGGTTCAACAAATGAAATAAAAAACTTGAAGATGGATTTCTCGAATGCTACTGAGGGTGGCCGAACACTATATAATCTTTGAACTTTTTTAGCAACTAGTAATTAGAATTTAATGCATTGAATTTTGTCTTATAGAGACGAACATTTTGACAAATATTTTATACAAAACAAACCAATAATATTATTTCATTATAGTGCTCGAACACCCTCTCCTCTGTATTATATTTCGAAAAAAAAAAGAATTTCATTCAGATTGGGAAATTCCCATCCCCCGTAGAATATTATTTCATTTCTCATTGTAGCTTATTCTCATCTTTAACTGTTCTTATTCCTATAGAAAAATAAACACAAAATTGACCTCCACCATTGACAACCGATTTCGAATGCGTTTTCTCCCATACATGTACGTACGTACATATGTACATCAATACGTACGTATATGTAAATTCTACATGTACATGTACAAATTTAATGATCTACGTATTATCGTTATATCAATATCGTATCGGTATTAACAGATTAAATTTTGTATTTACAGTACTTTCTAGTCAATAATATTGAAGAGTATATCGTACACATTGTATGATTGCATTTATGTTTAGTTATTGTTATATTAAAGCTTATATGTATAACGAACGATAAGTTTTTTTATCAAAACTGCTTTATCACGAAATTGATGATAGCGATAGCGATACGTAGTCGGATTATTTGGTAATACATGTACATAAAGTGAGGCAATTTCCCTTTCAAAATCTAGATTAGATTATTTTCTATTTGGAATTCTAATAATCCCATATAACAATAAAATGTCAGAAGAGTCCACTACTACCACATCTACACAAGATACTGAACAACCGCCACAATCACAACATCAACAACAGAATCAACCTTCAACAAAGCAACAAAAACGACGTGCAAATGTAATTGGCGCTGGTGTGTCGGGTTTAACTACTGCACTTATTCTACAGAGAAATGGCTATCAGACAACCATCATAGCAGAATTCTTCCCAGGGGACTTGAATATTCGATATGGAAGTCCGTGGGCTGGTGCGGGTTGGCGGTCGAATTTTGATTCGGATGATGAACAGTTGCAAAGTAAATTTCTCCGAATTTGTTGTATAATTTGAGAAACTTGCATTTCTAAAATATCACGATATAGGATTCGAAGCGTGTAGTTATAAGACTTTATGGAAGTTAGCTCATCTCGCGCCTGATGCCGGAATTAAACTTGTGAAAATTTATGATTATGTCGACGTTAAACCAAAACTGAGAAGAGATCAACCTTGGTTCAAGAAGCTAGTGCCTGACGTACGGATCATAAAATTTATTTGAGATTTCTGAGTATTCTCTCTTCTGATAATTATTTGTGAAAAATTAATAAAGTTCAGAGTAATCAGTAAATCGAAGTTACCAGCCACAAGTGAATTCGGTGTTTCTTACATGACTGGTATAATTTAACTTCAATATTTTTCTTTGTTATTCTTGAGCATATAATTAATTTCAACTATTTTTCATACAGTGTCATTGAATGTGCCAAAATATTTACGCTGGTTACTAAATCAATTCAAAAACTCTGGTGGCCAAACAATCAATAAACGGCTAGCGCATATTAAAGAAGCATTTGGTCCAGACGTCGACGTTGTCGTCAACTGTTCTGGAGTTAGCGCTCGGACTTTGGGTGGAGTTGAAGATGAAGCAGTTTATCCGACTCGAGGACAAACAGTGGTTGTTTGGGCGCCTCACGTGAAATCTTTCCTGACTCGTCGATGTATTTTGCATTTAAATTAGAAAATTAATGGTTATCGTTATTCCGATTTTTTTTACTAATTTTCTCGTTTTTTATTTAGCGATTGCGGCTGGTAATCATGACGTTACATATCTGATCCCGAGAGATGACGGACAAGTTATTCTCGGAGGCACTTTCCAGCCCAACGATTAGTAAGCACTTGATAAAATTTATAAACAATTAATTGACATCAAAGACAACTATTCTTACTTTGCATTATATATGTAATTCACTTAGCAATTCAGAACCCGATGAAAAAATGGCTAGAGAACTAATACAAAAATGTGAAAAACTTTGTCCGGAGCTTACTCACGGAAAAGGTATTCAAAGTCTTGAAATCACATCGCATAATGTTGGATTGAGACCTTCGAGAACAGGTGGAATACGAATCGAAACGGAATATAGGAGTGAGTTTCTTCTATTGTGATTCTCTTTTGCCTTCCGAGTTAATCCAAATTAACAATGTTGATTTTAAAGAGAGGGATGACGGTTCAGAAATTCTTGTATGCCACAACTATGGTCATCATTCATACGGTAATTAATTAATATGACCGACATCAATTTAATAAAAGCTTCCTTAACTATTTCGCATTTATTCGCAAATACTGTATACATATAAACAGGGTACACTTCAAGTTGGGGAGTAAGCTGTGAAGCATTCAATCTTATCGAAGCAGCATTCGCCAAACGACAAGAATTCGAAATGGCATTCGCTAATCAAGATGACAATAAAAAGAATAATGATATTAATCAAATGGTCGAAGTGCCCCAGTCAAAGTTGTAATTTTAGACAAAAAAAGTAGATCATTATTAAAAAGCTTTTGATTGCTATTTTTTTTTTTTAGTAATTTTTAGTCAGCTCTTTTCGTTTGGTTCTTTCATCCCAAAATAAAATCGTAACATATTTTATGTTGCCATCCGATAATTTGATCAACATATACGTACCGCGTACGTATGAATTAATTTCCCGAAAATGTATATAATTAATTTCCCCGAGCAAAGAAAAGATCCTATTATTTGCGGAATTTGTAAAAGATTAACAGTGAATAAATATGCATGTGCATGCACTCGATACCGATTTAAAAAATACCGATAACTTTCTGATGATGATTGGTGCAGGTTACTTTTGCCCGAAAATTACACATACGCGTATACTGTGCCTTACATAGTAGTTATCCTTTAAAAAAGTTATCCTTTAAAAAAAAGGAATATAACAATTTTGCATTATTTTTTCTTGGTTTTTCGTGTAAGTTTTTAAAAATTTTTCTTCGGGAAACACATGAAGTCGTCCAAATACACGTCGCTTTCGTTAAACCGGCCGGACATGTTAGGCTGTATTTTTTGTCCAGCTTGGTGGGGAAATCCAATTTAACGATAACCGGAGTACGTATTAACTATTTCCGGTTTAGCGAGTGTCCGGTTTAACGGGAGCGACGTGTAGAATTAATTATTACAATCAAAACTAAAGTGTTCGGGTCGGGCTGTTAGTAAAAAATTGTCAAGAATTCACAATAAATTCACTATCAAGCGGGTTTATTATAAACTTTTTTTGAGCTCAACTTCACTAGATCGAGAGTTTAATTAGTCATCACTATAACGAGAGTTCACCATAACGAGTGACTTGTATAATAATAAATTAGTTTTTTTTAGAGATTTCACCCGCAATATGGAACAGAAAGGACAAATCATTAAATCGACTATTTTACCATCTCCTTCGCAAGTAGTTCCATCTCAGCTGTCCTCACGCATAAAACCGCGAATTCTTATAGTTGGTATTGTGCAATGGGCGCGTCAGGAAGTGTATTTGATGTCGGCTAAATATGAATTTGAGGTAATTTCTATTTCTGAAAATTTACACTGTTTCAAGTCACAAAAAACAACCGTTAAAAAAAATTGGTATTTTTCAAAGATGTGCACAGCCGAAAATCGTGAACAATTTATAGAATTCTGTCGCGAAAGGTATCAAGGCGTTGTGGCAATTTATCGAAATAACGTGACATCTGATGTGAGTCAAGTATGCAGTCTGTCAGTCTTCCTTTTGAATTTATCAACCACTCACAGTCTTCCCTCGTTGTTATTAACATCATGGGCCCGGGCTATTTTGTTGATATATACGAGGGTGGATAACTACGAGGTTTAGAGTTAATATAATTTATTTTCATTTGAAATCTGTCCTGTGATTAATTTTGCTAACAACGAGTGTCTGATTGTATTGTATGTTTGGACTAGCGAATTGGAAAATTTGACAAAATCTTGATTTCAAACCTTCCTGATTCTGTAAAATTTATTTGTTGTTATGGCGTGAATTACGACACGATTGATATTAATGCTTGTTCGAACAAAAGTATAATTAATATTTTGATTTGGTGTTTAATATGCTGTTTGTTTAGAACAATTTTTACGAAATTTTACTTTTGATTGTTTTGCCAAAATTACAGAAATTATGGTCTCTAATACTCCGGATCCCGTATACAATGCTACGGCCGATACTGTAATGTTCTTGATCTTATCCACTTGTCGAAATGCATTTGCGGCTCAAAATAATTTACGAAATGGTAATTTTTCAGTCATTCCGCATGTGATATGATTTTTATCTTATAATCTAACATAACTATTTAGGAAACTGGAAATTTGGCTTACAGCGAGGAACAAATCTCGCTGGAAAGACTTTGGGAATGTACGGAATGGGAGGAGTTGGAAGAGTACGATGATAATACCGATCGTCTTTTTTTTTTTTTTAGTTTATTCAGTATTTCACAAATATATAATATACTTTTTATTTGATTAGGTAGTTGCAAAAAGAGCATACGCATTTCGAATGAAAATTCAATATTATAGTCGCTCTCGATTAGATATTGGCAGTAAGTTATTATGATTAGCTTCAATTAGTTAAATTTTTCCTGATATTTTGGAAAATTTATCATTTCAATAAAATATTAGCTGAAGCGCAATTACACGCAGAGTACGTCACCCTTAACCAACTTTTTCAGACATCAGACATCATTTCATTAAACTTACCATTACGACCAGACACCACACACATAATCGGTCAACGAGAATTCTCGCAGATGAAACGAGGTGTAATAATAATCAATACTTCTGCGGGAGGGTTGATTGATGAGCAAGCTCTGGTGAACGCTCTCGAGTCTGGACAGGTTAACTAAAATAATTCCGAGTTTCGCTTTGAAATTTTTTTCATTACAAGTTATTTCTAAAACATGCGCGCGTTTTCAAAAGGTTGCATCAGCAGGGCTAGACGTATTCGAAAACGAGCCATCAATTCAGTCAGGCCTCTTAACCCGCGACAATGTCACTTTATTACCCCATATTTCGACATTCACCAGCGACACCGAGTACGAGATGGAATTACTCGTGCTGCGAAATTTGCAGACTGCTTTGAATACGGACAAATTGGTGAATTTGGTTAAAGAGCAAAATGTTGAGTCGTTATCAGATTTATTTTCGTTAGCTTTTGGCGGATTCTAGTTCTATGGCCTTTTTTTTGCTCTCTATGATTTTTTCTGTTTTCTATGATTTTTCGAACATGTAAAACAAATATCAAGCAGGAATTTTTGAAGTACAGTATGACATTGAATACACTATCACTTAAAGTACATGTATATCCATCCCTTACACCTTTATACAACAATCCCTTGCATCAGTTTATATAAATAATGAAATTTATTCTCGTTGGTATTCATAAATCACTAAAAATAAAAAAATGCAGTATCGGTATCACTAGATAAATTTATCGTTATCGTTATCGTTATTGTAAACAATGCAAATCAATACGTAAATGCACAATACTGTATACGTATACGACATAAGAAGACATTCATGTGATTGGCTAATTTATGTTGATCTAAGCATGATTATTGACCAATCAAAGAAATTAGCGAAGCTTTACCATTACTCTATTAAAGTAAATGATATATGTATATAAAGCCTTTCTTTAAGATTAAACATCTTACTTGTCTCTTTCCGTAGCATAATGGTACATATATAGAGTTGGTAATAGTAGTAAATAGTAAAGTTTTTTTGCCTTCTAAGTAAAGTATGTCAGGTTTTGGATTCTTTGGAGATTCTTTTGCATAGTGAATATTAGCATTCATTTAAAACTAGAAATGGTTTTTATTAGCGTTAGTGAGACGTGACGTTCTCAAAAAGTACTTTAAAGTATATAAATAAGTTATCCCGGACAATTGATTTACATCAGTCAATCATATGAAAGTCTTCCTATGAGTACATACGTATACTGTATACCGATACGTAAACATCGATATATCGATATACATGTACTCGAGTCAGCTCAAATATTTTTGCTTCGGGCTGTTCCTAATTCCTAAATTTAAGATATCGAAATTCCAAAACCCAATTTGGATTTGGCTGTTTTACATTTGGGTACAACATTTATGTTTCTTTTTCATTCAAGCTTTAATATACGTACATGTAACGAGCTTTAACCTCCTCCGTTAAACAGATCATCATGTTTCCAATTTGAATTATGACGCAATCGATTTTCTTGTGAATCAGGGGGTTGGCTTGTTTTATGAAACACTTGGTTAATTGAATTCCGAGCTGCATGTAGAAAGAAGATAATTGATTTTGACGAGATCGTTAGTGTTGTGTGCCAATAAATGATTGTTCAATGATGGAAGCTATAAACCATTATTACATTCACCAAATCATTAGATTGTTTTAAACCTCCTTTTTTTTTTACATGTTCCACGACCACCACATCACACCACCAGTTCGCATTTTAACAATAGGTACCACATGGTAATTATTAATTCTAAAAAACCCCCATTCTAAATAAAATATTAGATGGTACACATGATCATTAACAATTTTGTAATTCGCGATATTACTTAAATGCGACTTGTGAAAAATTATTTATTAATAATTAACAATATATCAATGTATTCATGAATAATCATATAAACTTCCTCATTGAATCCATCAACAAATAACAATATAAACACACTGACAACTCTTTCATTGAATCCTGTCTCGATTTTATTTGCTATCTCTAAAAAAAACCATTATTCTTTTTTCTTTTACAATAAAATACATTAAACCCGACGTGAAGAAAAACAATGTCGACTGGTATCAATGAAATCGACGCAAATCTTCCATGGTCGTCCGCAACGTCGATTGATAGAAGCGATGGACCTTTAAGGTTACCTTTCGCCCGCCCATCGGTGTCAGAGCGGAAATTTAGGAGTCATGTAATTGAACAAAAAATTAATGAGATCAAGGATAAAATGTATGATAAAGATTTGGCCAGAATATTTGAAAATTGTTTTCCAAACACTTTAGGTGAGTGTATGGTCCATTGCGCATTTAATAGGTTATATACTTTGTAAACTAACTTTTGCGACGAAATAAAATAGATACGACTATCAGTTGGATGAATAATTCGGAAAAACGCCCGGAGACATTTGTCGTGACAGGTGATATTCCGTAAGTAATTTATTTTCGTAAAAAAAAAGATTACCTAATGTCGTGTCTCAGATGCCCCTTGCGTCAGATGTCGCTCAGCCCATATTAAAATGGGAGAGTTAGAGTTAATGCTAAGATAGATCGATGTCAAGCGAAGTTACCTGACGCCAATCGTTATCTGAGGCACAAAAATATGTATCGGTATACGTAGAGTGTAACAATTCTAAAACAATGGTGTAATTTAGTGCAATGTGGCTTCGAGATTCTACAAATCAAGTGTTTCCTTATTTGCGATTTGCAAAAATCGATCCAAATTTAAAGAGAATGTTGTTGGGCGTAATTCACATGCAGGCTGATTGTATTCTACAGGTACGTAAAACGCAAACTCAGATCCGAATTACATGTATTTCATTTGTTTATTAATCATGTGATTACCAGCATCCTTATGCGAATGCATTTCATCCACCACCCGACTCAATTCCAAGATCGGACAATCCTTGGTCACGAGTCGACTCAACTATTCCAGAAACGACAACAAATATATGGGAAGCTAAATGGGAAGTTGATTCACTAGCTGCTTTCTTGAAGATCTCGTATAATTATTGGCTGCATACCGACGAGAAAATTTTCATCAATGATTCGAACTGGGTGAATGCTGTGAAATCTGTTCTGCACACAATCGAAGAACAACGGAAAAGCACATTGGAAGAATTTAAGCGTCCTGCGTATGCTTTTACGCGTGAGACGAGAACTTCCACAGAGACATTGATGTTGGATGGTAGAGGTATGAATGCGTTAGTTTAATTTTTTTAGTGTAAATTTTGTGGTATTTTTTTAATTAACAGTACGTTCATTAAAGGTGCACCGGTGAGACGGATAGGTTAGAGAAATTCTTATATTTTTTATTATTAGAAATCATTTGGAATAGATTTCTAATATAATATTTTACAATTAATAGGCCTAGTAAAATCACAATTTCGGCCATCAGACGATGCTACAGTGTTCCCATTTTTCATTCCCGGCAATGCCATGCTCTCAGTAGAATTAGCACATTTATATGAACTTTTAATTGACACCGAACATCACGAGTTAGCAAAAAAAGCAGCACTAATATCACAAGAAATACGAGAAGCAATTCTCACGCACGGAATCGTATCACACTTTCATTTTGGTCATATAATAGCATATGAAATCGATGGCTACGGCTCAACACATCTAATGGACGACGCGAATATCCCGGGTCTATTGAGTCTGCCATACCTCGAATTCATACCAAAAGAGCACGATCTCTATAAGAGAACACGAAATTTTGTGTTGAGCGAGTACAACAAATTTTTCTTTACTTGTTATGAAACTAACGAAAATGTTGGGCCCGTTGAAGGCGTTGGTGGTCCGCATATTGGACTGGGATTTATTTGGCCAATGAGCTTGTGTGTTAGGGTATGTTTATTTTTTTTTCTTGACGAATTCTTGTTCGAGTGTAAGTATTTGGTAAATTGTACTTTTTCGTAGATAATAACGTCTACTGATGATAAAGAGATTCTGGAGACACTTGAACAGTTAAAGAAAACTACAGCTGGTACTGGGTTAATGCACGAGTCTTTTTGGTGGGAGAAGCCTTCCCGCTTTACTCGGTCATGGTTTGCGTAAGTAATAATTTTTGTATTTTCAAAAAAAAAAAAACTCGAGAATCTTATACATTCTATTCTTAACGATCTATATATAGATGGGCAAACAGCCTATTTGGTGAGATGATTCTTCGACTTGCTGAGGAAAAACCACACTTGATTTTTTCAGAAATTCAAATTGAACAATGAACTTTTTTCCTAGTTTTATATCCGCGTTTTTATTTATATGAAAAATCTAAAGTAATTTTTTGTTTTCTGTTCTCTGTACATTTATGCTATTGTTATTTTTACTCTTTATCGTTAGCATTATCCTTGATTGAACAATACAAACATTTCAATACTGAAAATATTACATTATTATATTAAATAATTTGTCACAACTTCTACGAGAGTAGTCCAACTCTGTGGGAGTGGGATGTTTGCATTAATAATAAAGCACAAAAGTAATACTATCTTAGCATCATTATTATTAAGCATAGAACACTAATACAATTGCTAGCAACTGAAACAAGACAAGTAATATTTAGGCTGGTCCAGTTGGTCCTGGCCCCCCGGTTTATAACAGCTTCAATTGGAGCTGTGTCTCATGAATAACTATTTTATAAATTAATAATTGATAAAATATAATGATTTGGGCTTTATGTCAAAGAAAAACCCAATAGGAAAAAATTATCCTGATAATATTATCGAATGGACCACCGCTGGCCGTAGTTTTGTTGCCACTAACAAAAATGCTAACACTAATAATACTCTAAGAACCAGGAAACTACGTATTGTCAATATATTAATAACCTTGATATTGACCCAAACTTGAATGAGAGCAAATAAACCTGAATACCCAATTCTTTACAACTTGCAAGTAAGTACATGTATTTGGCAATTCCTGCTCATCAGTTCATCTAAGCGCCTACTGTATTTTCAAATGAGGAAACTTAGTACCCTCAACGAAATCGATTGGATAAAATACAAGGAAACTGCAAACTGATGCAAATTTTTGATCGATATAATTCTTGTCGTGAATAATTCCTTAATTTGAATAACTGGGCATTTTTGATTGCTCAGTAATAAATGATTACCAATATTCAGGTTGAACTCGGTTAATTGAACTTGAAACAATGAGAGTCGTATATATAATATAGAGTCACATGTTTCAAATATCTTACCTGGGGTGAGGAAGAGGGTTGTCTCTAAATTACGTAATATAGTGCAGGACACTTAAAGGCGTCAATAGAATTAGTCATCTTTAAAGCAAGGGATCTTTATACAAAGATCGTATAAAAAAAGAAGGCCGCTATTTTGTAGTAAATGGGTCTAGCTACAAAATAGCGGCCCCCTTTTTGTATGATCTTTGTATAAAGATCCTTTGCTTTAAAGATGACTAATTTTATTGGCGTCTTTAAGTGTCCTGCACTGTATTACGTAATTTAGAGACAACCTTCTTCTTCACCCCAGGTAAGATATTTGAAACATGTGACTCTATATATTATATGTACATGAGTCCAGTGTTGGCAAAATGAGTAAATGACAAAACTTTTTTTTGCTTATAAAAATAATTTATATATTTTTTAATTTATGATTTTGTTATTTATAAATATTAATTAATGACAAAGTTTTTTTGATTCATTAAAGAAATAAAATTTTTTATGACATGCTATTTTTGTCATTTTGCATGAGTTCCCCCAGGATATTATATAATATATGTCACAAACCTTTAAATCGATTTTAGGAATTATTTCCTAGTTAAGAAGTTAAAACATACCGACACAATCTGGAAATTTAAAGATGAGAAAAGTATTTAAATAAGCTTTTATAAATGGAGAATGTAATCTCTAGAGATGAAAAAAACATGCGAATGGTTTTAAAAGCAGCAAATTCTGGTTATGAGCGGATTTTTGCGAATACAGTTCGCATAAAAAGTAATGGTGGACAATTTTATAAAAAATAAAATTAACTATGAATAAAAATTTGTTTCAGAATGCATGCTTTATACTGTTATAGTTTATTTTGTTAGTTATATATTATTGGACAATTTTTATATTTATTTTTATTGGACATTTCGTATAGTATATTTTATTGGACAATATTTATTTTTATTTATTTTTATTTTTATTGGTTAGTTATTTTTATACTTATTATTTACATGTACTGTACATCAATGTGACAGATATATTGAACATTCGATATTTTGAACTGTTGATCATTAGA